ATTTATTACCAGTGACATCAGTCAATATGTACATTTTGTTTAACTTCAAATACATGTGTGGACCACTCCTTAAATCCCACAATGATAAATGTATGCACATTATCTGTTGGCTTTTTCATATTGTCTTATATACCGCCTTTTCTTACTATTTGCTGCCCAGTTTCTATGCATTTCCTCTTGAGTCAAAATAGATTGTTATCTCATGCTCATATTTTCATTTATTTCAGCGATACTTCAAGTCAACTTTCATCATGAGGATGAACAAGCTACTGATGATCAGCGCTCATCTACGCCTAAAACACGCAAGAGGAGGGCATTAATTGCTTCAAAAACAGACGAGCAACGTGAGGTAAGACTGGAAACCATTCGAGTGCGCACTGCTGAAGCCCGTTCATCTCAATCAGACCAGCAACGGAAAGCAAGACTCGAAAACGTTCAAATGCGCACTACTTTATCCAGGCGAACACTGCATGTTGATTTGAATCTTGGTGCATTCCATTACACCAGCAATTATGATTGGTCTTCATCCACTCTCGCTTATTGGCAAAATGGATAAATTGTACGTACATTGCAGTGCCTTTAAATTTAAGAATGACATGCCGGGTATGTGCTGCGCAGGTGGAAAAGTTAAATGGCCAGTATTACATTCACCACCCGAACCATTATCATCATTGGTAGTAGGTGACACAGGCCAGTCGACACATTTCTTGGCAAATATAAGTACATTTGCAAATATGTTAACAAAGGAGGCGAAATGGCAGTCTTTGGAGTGGGACATGCAGCTGTATCTATCGATGAAATCAAGCAATATCAGCTGGGGCGCTACATTAGTAGCAATGAAGCGGTATGGCACATTTTCTCATTTCCAATTCATGAATGACATCCAGCAGTTATTTATTTGGCAGTGCACCTTGACAATGGACAGCGCGTGTACTTCACTATAGAGAATGCACATGCACGAGCATTGTTACCACCGCCAACAACGTTAACTGATTTTTCTCACTGTGTAGAGATATGTTTGCAAAGACACTCCTTTACTCTCACCTGCCAATATACTACACATGGAATGCATCAGCTAAAAAGTTTCAACGTTGCAAGCAAGGTCAAGCAGTTGACGGACATCTTAATTTATATTCTACTGATATTTTAGGCCGTGTGTACACTGTTCATCCCAAAAATGCAGATTGCTTTTACTTGCGATTACTTTTAATCAACAAACGGGGACCGGCATCCTTCCAGGACTTGAGAACAGTTTATGGTAAAGTATGCGCTACTTACCGTGAAGGTTGCCAAGAATTAAATCTTTTTGAAAATGATGCACATTGGGACACTTCACTCGCTGATGCTTCGAATACTGCTCAAACAACTGTAAATACGCATATTATTTGCAATAATATTAACAACTTGCTTCCCATTCATTCCAAAAGAGCTTTGGGAAAAATACAAAGACTACATGAGTGAAGACATCCTGGCGTGAAACGAAGCATGATCAGGACCTTCAATTCATACCAAGTGTATATTATGAGGCATTTGTTTGCATTGAGGACATATGTTTGACAATAACTAACAAAGCACTGGTTCAAGTGGGACTGGCTCCACCAGAACAATCTGCAAACAATCTTTTCGATCGTGAGTTGCCATGAATCCGAACATCTAAGACAAATTACCAGGCGGTGTGACAACGTATAAGTCTATCGATACTGTAATGAATCAGGACGAAATTGTTAATTATCCAACTGAGTTCTCAAATTCACTTGATTTGCCAGGCATGCCACCCCACATTTTAACCATGAAAATTGGCGTGCCCATCATTCTTCTCAGAAACAGCAATCCGCCACGTCTTTGCAATGGTACCAGGCTTTCAGTGAAAAGGCTGATGCTCAATATCATCGAAGGTACAATTTTAAATGGGAAATTTAAGGGCGAGAATATACTTTTGCCACGCATCCCAATGATTCCAACAGACATGCCATTTGACTTCAGACGCTTGCAGTTTCCGGTGCGACTCGCCTTTGCAATGACCATAAACAAATCACAGGGACAATCCCTACAAGTGTGTGGACTACTTTTGGAACATCCATGCTTTTTACATGGACAGCTATATGTGGCCTGTTCACGCGTCGGAAAACCTTCTAATTTATTTGTGTACTCACCAGATGGAAGAACAAAGAACATTGTTTACCCAAAAGCACTTCAGTAAACACATTTTTAATGTTAAATTACCGGCACAATGATCCAATATAATTACATTTTGTTAAAGCGATTTTCCTTTCAATTCACTTTCTATTGTAGCAACGCGTGCAGGGTTGTTTACAGCAATTAGCACTTATATATGTGTGTGTGTGTGTGTGTTTGTGTCTGTGTGTGCACATGCACACACATATATACACATAAAGAAATTGAGGTCGGTGTCTGTTACGATTTAAGGATGTGTGCAAGCGAGACATGAATGATACAGGTACTGATGGTTCGTAATGCATGGGGAGGGAAATGAAGGAGCGAAAATGTAAGGAAGGGGAAAGGAAGGGAAGAGGGGGGGGGGGGGTGGCAGAAGACTGCATACATGTGAGCCAAGCGTCTGAGAAAAGATGGCATCAAAGACATGTGACCTCATACACTCATTGTAGAAGCATCTTCTGAACAAGCGCTGGTCTTGCTAGTGATGCCAGTGCCTCCATGCAGCATAGTGTAACACTATCATTTAGAAAGACGAATTAAAAAAATGCTAACAACAAAAACAACACGAACAACAAGACAACACGAACAATAATATAATAACTAAATAATCAATAAATACATTGGCAAAAAAAAAAAAAATACAATACAAATACAACAGACATTATATGCCCTTTAAACAAAAAGCGTGTAAATTAAAAATACAATGATCTATAGATCCTCTACACCAACGAAACAAAGTAATACAAACCGACTGGCATACTTTAGCTTGAATTAAAAGGACTCCGAGGTAAAATACAAGATGCAATGAAAATGTCTAATCCGAAATTGCCTGCACAAACACGTATCTACAATATACGGATGATTCTATCAGTATCTATCAATATTTGGTTATGAAAGCTGGCCCGCTTAGAAAGGTAATAACCTTTGACCTAATTGCAGCAATCAAGACCTAGTTGACCAGAAATGAAATAGACCTTGACCTCACTGACACTGCGATGACAATAACATTGTAAGAATTAATGGGGAGTGGGGGTGGGGAATGGTCTGAGGGGAGGGATGGAGACGTGCAGTGAGTTCTGTTCGGTCTCTTGCTATTGCAGCAATATCATCATCATCATCAAGTGCCTTGGCGACTGGCGTGGGCGATCATGCCTCTCCATAATCTGCGATCTCCTGCAGCATGTATCAGTTTGTGTGCCGACACACCTCCATGCCATGCAACAAGACTGTCAAGCATCTTCTCTCGTTGTCTTCCTCTATCCCTCCTTCTACAGATCTTTCCAATGGTCACAACATGTTCTATTTTCCCTCTTCTCATAACATGGCCGAAAAATGGATAACTGTCTCCCTCTGATGTCTGTGATAAGTTGTCTTTGGGCTCTCGCCTCTTTCAAAACCTCCTGGTTGCTCTTTTTGGCTGTCTAAGGTATTCTAAGCATTCTTCTGTAAAACCACATCTCTGAGGCCTCTAGAAACACAGCAATATACAGACATGATTCGTGGAATATATCGCAACCACCAAGGCAGAAGGTCGGATTCTGTACAAAAATTAATGTCACTTTACGATAAGTAGAGAGATCAAACGTTAGAAGATACAGAAGTTTTTTTTTGAGATTTTGAACAACGGATCAACATCGTGGCACACGGGTAGTAACACATAAGTGCTCCGTTCTTCTGCTAACTCAAGTCTGAGTCCGAAGAAGCTCACCACAGTGTACAGGCTCTATAGCACCGGCGAGGATCCTGAAATACTTTAGGTAGATTTTTAACTAAAAATGTTTGTCCGGGCAGCGCCGTTAGGCTACTCTTTTCGATTTCCAACTGCCAAGGAATTTTGTACGTGCATAACACATGGGCGTCCGATCTTACTACCCAGAGACCCTGGGGAATTACTAGAAATCCAAGTTCACGTGAAAAAATCCCAGCACTTACCGGGGATTGAACCCGGAACCTCTAGCACTCGAGGTAGACACCATGCCTCGAGACCACGCAGCCCCCTAAGAAGATACAGAGGTAATCCACACACACACTTAAAAGAAAGTAACAATGCTTGCTGGCCTGAAGCGATGGCATGGTGGTCTGTTTATTTTCCTTCAAAACTGGGGTCTTCAAATCTTTAAGGGAATTTGATATCAATGATAAGGGAAGTAAATTTATTAGGAAAAAAAAAAAAAAAGAATGAAACGGTTTGGCCATCAAATGAAAATAAAACCAAAAATGTCAGCAGCAACAGCATACAACCTGAAAATCGAAACACCAAGAGACAGGGGAAGGCCGCCAAGAACACGGATTGAAAGAGTCAATACACCTTGAGACTTCATAACCTTACAGCGTACTCAGCGACCGAGCGCGCCCTGGCCCACTGCGGATCGTGGGATGAACTGCGACGCCTAGCGATATAAGTAAATATTGACAAAAGAAGAAGATAGTGGAAGTGTGTGATAGTTTAGATCTGAAGTATCAATCACTTTCATTGTAGCGACGGTAAAGAAAGAAAGAACGAAAGAAGAAGAAGAAGAAGAAGAAGAAGAAGAAGAAAAAGAAAAAGAAGAAGAAGAAGAAGAAGAAGAAGAAGAAGAAGAAGAAGAAGAAGAAGTAGTAGTAGTAATGTCAGCAACAGCAGTGATATTGGGGGGGGGGTGGGGGGTGGGGGGGGGGGGGGGCGGGGGGGGGGGGTGCGGGGGGGGGGGGGGGGGGGGGGTTGTTGAAAGAACGGGGTTTTTTTTTTGGGTGGGGGGGGGGGGTGAGAAGAAAAATTAAAGAAGAATAAGATGTAGAAGAAGAGGCACAACAACAACAACAACATCAACAATTGAACATACCTATGAGAGGATAAGGAGAGTTCTCTTTGCCTGCCACTACCCACAGCTGGTAATCCTTGGCGTCCGAGTCCTGACGAGAGCAACAACACACATCGTCAAACAGCGATTAATACTAGTTGGCTGTCACATTAAAGAATGCAGGAACCCAACAGAAATAACAAAAACATACGGGTGTGTTCTCAATATAACAAATGGGGAGGGGGGGGGGAGAAGTTAAACCCTCACAAATTTTCTACGAATGGGAGCAAAGGCATAAAAGCAGGGGGAGGGGGGGGGGGGGTTCCCTCAGATTACTTAAGGTACTGGAGCCCAGTGGGGGAGGGGGGACAAGGGAGCTTAAGTAATCGAGAGGGACCCCTCCCCCCCCCCCTGGGCTCCAGTACCTTCTAAGAATGATCTTGATAACAATTACTCATGACACAGAGCTACACAACAATGAAGCTGACAACAGAAACCTGGTAGATGTTACATCATTTGTCACATCATCTATTGATACAACAGCTCTAGATAAACAGGCTGATACAATATAACTTGATATATCACTTGACACAAGGCTCGATATGTTTTCACTCCATACAACATCAGTCGTCACAGGATACAACATAACTATCGCTCGCATGATACAACATACATTGATTCATCACTTGATATATAAACTAGTATTTTGGTTGAAACATAAGCTGATACAGCATCTCAGTAAAACTTGGATTAATGCATCATTGAATACAACATAACTCGTGCAGTATCACTCACTATATAACTCAATAATCATCACTCAATGCAAGAATGACTGTCACACGGGACTACAGGTTACCTCGTAAGCATTTTATGGTTCCCAAATATAATCGATGGCACCTTTCGGTCTTTCCAGACAATAGTGTTATATTGCGCTATATAGAGGCAAGGGACTCACAGCCCATGGTGATGGTGAGTGTGACTAGCAAGACCTGCCCGCGTTAAGAAAAGTCTTCCACAATTATAGCGTGGGATTTCAGGACCGTTGTTGTCAACATTTGTGTTTAGTGTGTTTCTTCTCACACGCTGAGCTCTCATACTTTCTGCAGTCATTTCTTCCTTCATTTTTTTGTTCTTCCTGATGTGCCCCCTCCACATCATGGTCCATGGGGAGACACGTTTGCTATGAAGCTGAAACGGACATTAACATATTAACATGGTCCATGGCATTTTGTTCCCACAAGTCCACCTCAATACCTGTATTGTTCATGTCCCGTTCGCACACATCTTTATATCGAAGTAAAGGTCTTCATTTCACAAAGAGGATGTCCTTAGTATCATCTCCATGGCATATGATCCCTCCCTCGACCTGCCTGGATACTGCAAAGGAAAGATAACACCGGTACGTTTGGAACAGAGCAGGCTGCTGGAGCAGAAGAGCAGTGTTCTATCTGTCTGTCTGTCAGAGCTTTCCTCATAGACCAGCTTCCAGCAGGGCTAAGGGCCTGGTCTGTCCTGCCATAACATGCAGTTTTCAGGCTGCATTTCCTTTTCCTAGGATAAGGCTAGCATCCTCCCCAATACGATTCTTCGCTCGAAGCCGTTTACACAATATGGGATTTTAGGTTTGGTATACGCCACCCAATATTCGGCGTTAACAGAAGACAGATGGTACCGGCTAATGTTCTGCAGTAGGTCAGTCACATCTGACCAAGACCTGACAAGATACAATGTTGTATCGCTCTATGTAACTGCTGTATGTATATAAGCGATTAGTATCTGTTTGATTCTAAACCTTTGAGATGAGAATCCTACAGTCTGCAATTCTCGAAAAAAAAAAAAAGTGAAAAAGCGGAGGGGGAGACTCAATACAATATCACTTGATACACGATCGCTCAATACAACATTACGTGATACACAATTGTCTGATTCAACATAGCTCATTAAAACACCGATACAATACAGCTAGCTAAAATACGGAACAAGGGACACCACAAATGAACAAGCAGACTTACAGAAAGATTGGCTTGTTTCAAACATTCGCGCACCACGTCCTTGGCCTGTGTGAAGACGTCGACTGTCATCTGGCAACTGGAGCATGTCACCTGGAACAGGCAGAATGGTATCATAGACCTCCTCCTCCTGCTGCTGCTGCTGCTGCTGCTGCTGCTGCTTCTTCTTCTTCTTCTTCTTCTTCTTCTTCTTCTTCTTCTTCTTCTTCTTCTCTTCTTCTTATTCTTATTCTTCTTTCTTCTTCTTTCTTCTTCTTTACTTCTTCTTCTCTTCTTCTTTCGATCTTCTTCTTCTTCTTCTTCTTCTTCTTTGTCTTCTTCTTCTTCTTTTTTCTTCTCATCACCGCCCACAGACACCTGCGGAAAGTTCTGGCTGTTCATCCACTTCTGGACTTTGGTCTTGTTGCAGAACCAGTGTGTGCACATCTATTTATCAAATCTGGCTTATTTGTATACAGGCTGTTGGTTTCTCGCCTCTCATGAAGATACACCTCAACTTAAAAAAATACCCCTGATTAGTTGACTACTAGGACATGCTTGGTAGGGGCCTTTCGAGGCAAAGTGAGTCTATTGTTTTGGCTCCGGAACCTACAGGAAAAGCTTAGACTAGTGAACTAGTGGATCTAAGTGTTTTTAGATGCAAGAGGCCATTAAAAGCCAGAACTTTAGCTGAAGGAGAGGGGAACCCAGGTAACATTGTGGCTAGACACTCAGCTGTCAACCCGGAAAGTCAAAAGTGCAAATTCATATCCAAGTGGACTCCCCCACCCCTTTGCCTCGCCACTTTTAAAACTGGTCTTGACGCTCAGGTCGTTGGACTCTGTCTAAAAATGTAGTAACAGGTCTTTACAAATGTGACCACAGGTCTATACAAATATGGCCACTTGTCTATACAAATGTGACCACAGGTCTTTACAAATGTGACCATAAGTCTATAAAAACATGGCCTCAGGTCTATAAAAATGTAGCCACAAGTCTTTACAAATTTGGCCACAGGTCTATACAAATGTGGCCACATGTCTTTACTAAATGTGACCACAGGTCTTTACAAATGTGACCATGGGTCTATACAAATGTGGCCACAGGTCTTTAAAAATGTGACCACAGGTCTTTACAAATGTGGCCACAGGTCTTTACAAATGTGGCCACAAGTCTACACAAATGTGACCACAGGTCTATACAAATGTGGCCACTTGTCTATACAGATGTACTACAATTTCCTTGTCTATATAACTGTCAACAGACGTCCCATGCTTAAAGAGTTAACTTACGGCTTCAATATCTCTGGGAATCACCTTTAGCTGTAAGGACTTGTGCTCCTCTTTGATTTTTTGCTTGGTGATATTTCTGTAAGATGTAATGTCAATATTAGCAATGGGGATAAGGCAATTAGTGTATTTTCTTGCATGCATGACAGTCTTGGTTCAATCACTAGGTATGGTGTGGCTTCATTTCCTGTCTAGTTCACTTCTTAGACCAGCCCAATTTTATAGTGCACAGCTTTCTGTGGAAATGTCTCCACATCAGTTCCGCTACGATAGATGTAAGTGTTTTCTGTGGCTGAATTACCTAACGGAAAAACATCTAAAGCATTAAAACTCTGAGCTTCAAGGGATTAACCATCGAATCATTCAGCCAATGGCTAGTCAACCATCAGCCACCAAACAACCAGTCAGTTAACCAGCCAGAAATCCAACCAGCCAGGTAGAAAACTAACCAAACAGCCAGCTAGAAAGAAAGAAATAACAGCCAGTCAAACAGCCAGGTCACCAACCAAGAAGAGCTTCTATTATGAATAAAGATGTATGCAAGCAGGACATAAATAACTGAGGTTTTGATATGGATTCACGAGTACAGAAAGTCATGGGCCATGTTGCAAGTTGGAGGTTGGGGTGTAAAAACAAAAATGCATATGGATAAAGACGAAAATGATAGCAGGTAGGTTTGGAGCTGAGCATCTGAGAAGACTAACATTAACTACTTGCAAATTCAGCCCATGGTTGGTGTTCGAAAACGGGCTGTTGCCGGGGTTCACCCAGCCTCTAGGAAATGGGTACCAGAGTTGACACTCTGAGGTAAATGGAGGAACGTCGCTGTAGCTATGGAGTTACGTGCGAACGGTGACACAGGCAGACAGTTTCTTATCAGCTGACCGTACTGGTGGCAGAGCACTTATGGTTTATAACCGTGTGCAATGACGCTGGTTTACATCTCCCGACTTTACTTTACTTTTACAAGCAATGACAACGGACATTCGATGCTCTTGTTGTGAAGACTTGTCTTAAAGTGAGCGGGCACTGATTGCCTCCCTTTAGCACAATATAACACTATTGTCCGAAAAGACGGAAAAGGAAGTAAAGTAAAATGTAAAGGACCTTTTTTCATGCCTTCAGGCGTATTGGGCATAAGGGAGATGTTGTATTTTATAGACAACTGGAAATTGGGAGTGAAGGGTCCAGCATCATATGGCGGCATTAACTTCCCCCGGGACGGTCCCTGGTACTCATCAAACTGCAAACACATCTTGACACGCGAGGTCATTTTTTTCGACAAATCCCGACTCTGTCGTACAAAATCATGACTTCTAGTACCTAGGTGAGGATCTAGGCCGTTTCACCACAGGCGCCTAGTCAGAAAAAGTGCAAATAATAAATTGAGTAAATAAATGCAGTGCGAGAGACACCATATTGTGAAAACTGGAGAACAATATGACTAGATGTTTTTGCATTGGAACCACAGGACCATAGGAATAAAGTAAGGTCAAAAAACAAGGGAGAAAGGGGAGTGGGAATGAAGTCAGAAAGAATGGCGAGGAAGTGAGGAGAGCTCCAGTGTAGCAAAGGATGAACTACTTGGGATGAGTTGGTTTAGGGGGTATGCTCAAATGGGGGTAGAAAAGGGAGAAAAGGGGAAAAAGTGTGAGATGGAACATATTAAAATAACACTGGGGAGATAAGTAAAGAAACATAAGGATAGGTGGCGGGAGGTTGAAATGAATAAGAAACAAAACTATAGGTGTTTTGTTGGTTCAAAAGGGTTTACCATAGACTATTTTGGGTTTAAAAAAAACAATTGAACCCAAAAAAAGATAAAAAGAAAAAAATGCAAAAATAAAAACAAAATTATTTTTAGAAAAGATCATCAACAACTCAAATTTCTGGCGAATTTGTTAACCAATATTTTCGTTTCCCCAATTTGAAAGGGGTACAAAATTGGTGGGGCCAGCCCAATCACAAAAAGATTACTATGGGTCGGGGGGTTGAGACATCTCTATACAGGAGGCGTCCACAGCCCCAAGAGTTTCTTCTCTTCAATTTGAAAGGTATTTGATCTGATGGATACAATAGAAAAAACTGATGGTTTGTTTGTAAAAAGTGCAGCACAAAAAAAGGACCCTAATGAAAAATTTAATGGGGTGACATGTGAAAAAAATTACAAATTTACAAAAATTTTTCAATTCTGGGATTTATTGGACTAACAGCTTTTTGAACTTTTAAAAGCAATGCTGTAAATTTCTCACCTTTGTTATTGTTCTTGTGTTAAAAAATTAATTTCAATTATTTTATGGTTTTTTTTGGGCCCGCCTCCAATAGTTGGGGAAAAAATTTTATATTGTTTTTAACAGTGCGAATCTGGGGGTTGACGAATTTTC